GGAATGCCCCATTCCAGAATTGCAGTGGCCCCATTTTATCTACCACATATACAGGGCTGGAAAATCCATATGGTCCATCTACCTTTACATGAGAGCGACAAAGTAAAGTAAAGAAATCCGTGCGATAGACAAGGATGGCTAAAGTGAAGATGTTTCATAATCTGAATAGTCACCGGTCACCGCCTATTTCGGGATAGAAGTGAGAGTGACTATTCAGATTATGAAACGTCTTCAATGGAACCATCCTTGTCTATCGCACGGATTTCTATGACTTACTTTATCGCTCTCACGTAACGGCCGATGGAGACTTTCCGAACCTGTATACCAAGTTCTGAAGAGTCACAAAGTCTAGTGTAAAAATTTTCTTTATATAAGTATTTATGACCAATAACAAAAATTGGCAGGTTTTGTTATTTTTAAAACAAAATGATGAAAAACCATTTCTTTATACTGAGAGACACAGGGTTGACCTTTCTCTGTGCCCCTAGTAAAAATATCAAGAGTTCCTGTTTACGGTTAATTACTTGTTGAATTGACTTTTCCGATTTCCTTATAAGCTTTTTTAAAGTCTGCAATTTGACATCATCAGTAAGATGTAAGATGCAAAAAATTAAGCACATTGTGAGATACATTTTCTTTTCCATATAAGGTAATGAATGTTTCAATAAAATATTTAAATAAATGTTCTGTATAATCGATATAAGTAAAATATTTAGAACATGACAATATTCGTACAGCTATATGAAGGGAGAGAAAATTCATGTATGTCATTTGATAAGATCGATTTGTATATCTACAAAAGAAATGTTTTCAATTATTGATGTCCCAGTATAATTATTTTTTTTGTGAACGCAAATTTTTTATTTCAGGGCTTTTATATTATGGCTATAAGTACCTTCAATATAACATTTTGTACATGAAGCATATCCTGAATGACCCTTGGTATATTTAATATAACATTTTGCAGGTACATCACAAATAAAATACTTAACTCAAAGTGAGTACTGACAATTGTTATAAGAAAAACCATTATTTATTAAATTTGTAATTTCATCGGTAAACTCTTTCAAAAATAAATTAGCATATTTTGGTTTTTCGTATCCATGATAAAGACCGATCATTTCAACATTTTTTTCATACCACAAATACTAAACAAGATAGGGTAAAATTGGCTCCCGGAGCTTTTAGAAATGGGTAAGCCGTCAATATTGACATTTATCTCAATATTATTCGAACAATTTGGAAATTTTAATAAACGTTTTTTAATACCATTTTCCAATCCAAAATGAAAATATTGACTAGGTTCAACAATTTCAACAATAGTATGTTTGGGAGTTTGTAAAAGGGTCCTTGAATCAACAGGTAATTCATTATGGATCGGCTTTAATAGCTTTGTTCGTACAGCAGTCAGAAACTATCAGCAACTGTATGACACATGCGTGATAGGTCAAAAGCGTTCGCACAGCGATAATCCGTGACTCCTGACTAAAAATTTGATGTTCGCAGAACAAAACTTATGAGTTGTGGACTGGTTTCTAACCATCAAAATAATCCGCTGACTCCCAACAAATTTTCGGTTTCGGACATGCGCACTATGCGCAGTCTTGAACTAGCGCTGTTCTATGCTGTCAAGTAACGAGCGTTCAAATAAAAACGTGGTCAAGTTGGTTCTGAAAATTTGGACGTAGGGCGTAGCGTATAGCAAATGAACTTAAACGTCATCTGTCAAAGCGCTATATCGCCGCTATCAATTTGAATATTTTCGTTTTAAAAAGCGTTTAAAATGGTGTTTTCTCAAGAACAAAAAGTGTTTATCATAGAGTCCTACTTTAGAAATGGACTCAAGATTGATGGAATATGGAAGTATTCTATTGAGGAATGTTTCATAGAATTTCAAAATCAATTTCCCGGCGTTGTTGAGTACAAAATTTTTCAGTGCAGTTCAGCGTTGTGTTAATGTTTTTCGTGAAACGGGCAGTGTAACAAGAAAAGTGGCCGACCTAAAAAGCGGACTGAAGAATTAAAAGAAAATGTCCAACAAATAATGGAAAATGCGCCAAGAACTTCTGTACTTACGTGTTTTATCACAAGTGGTGGGAGTATCAGTCGGTACCTGCCACACAGTGTTAAAAAAAGATTTGCATTTGTTCTCCTATCGTTTAACTTGTCAGCAAGAACTTCATGAAGTTGATTTTCCGCGACGGGCTGTATTTTGTGAATGGTTTTGAAACAACTACGGTGAACTTCATAATATCACCTTTTTTTCTGATGAAGCCTGGTTTCATTTAAGTGGTTACGTAAACTCACAGAATATGAGAATGTGGTCTTCTGAAAAACCAGATAACTTTTTTGTCGAGGGCCCTCTACACGCTCAAAAAATTGGAGTTTGGTGTGCTCTCAATTGAAGGAGGATTTATGGACCTATTTTTTTTAATGGTACTCTTACTGCGCGAAGGTACAGAGAAGAAATTATCGCTCCTTTTGTTAACCAGCTGGAAGAAAACGAAATTACAAACTTTTACTTTCAACAAGATGGCGCAAGGGCACATACGGCAGGCGAGACGATGAATATGTTGAGGGAAGTTTTCCAAAATCGACTAATAAGTCTCAATGCTGAACATGAATTTCCACCGAGGTCATGTGATATTACGCCGTGTGATTTCTTTTTGTGGCCTTACCTTAAAAACACTATTTTTGAACTGCCTATTCCTGATTTAAACCATCTGCAGGCTCGACTTATAGACAAGATTCGTGAAATTAACAATACCCCGAGCATCTTAGAAAATGTCTTTAATTCTTTGAGGAACAGGTGTGAAAAGTGCTTGGAACAAGGAGGGGGACACTTTCCGCAGCTCCTTTAATTGTTTGTTATTGTTATAACGATTATTCTTTAAAATAAAGTTATATAGTCATTAACGTTATTGAAACTGACAGCTGCTATACAGCTCGTTGAGAAATGAGGTTAAGTTGGTCGCTATAAGCTACTCCCTACGTCAGAGCCAACTTCGACCACGTTTTTATTTGAACGCTCGTTACAAGAGACTAACATAATTAATCATTTTAATACGTTTAATTATAATATAAAACCGAAGTGACAAATAAACAGACGATGAATCTGTTCAAAATTAGTCGTCAACATAAATTTGAAATAAATAAATATTTATAGGTTATGGTCATTCAGTCACGATTTACTCTAGCATTTTTAATCTGTTCACAGAGCACAAAATTTGAAATCGGTCGGAAATCAGTTTGACGCCGCACATGCGCAATGAAAAATTGACAATCGGTTGGAAATTGCATTCTGCGAACAAACCTAATATTTTTAAAAGTTCATTTACGGCAGTATGGGTAATACTGTGTTTTACAACCCATTCTGCAAATTGTAAAGGAAAGGCAGTGATGCCACAGGTCGATGAAGGAATTATGGTAAAGTGTTGCCAAAATTATCGATTTTACTTGAAAATTATGTTACAAATAGGTATTTCTTTAAAATAAAAAAAATGCACATATAATTTGTTTATTTTGGTGAAAAATGAACATTTTAAAAAAATCAAGCAAACCCTCGAAAAAAACTAAATATAAAAAAATTATTCCATTTCAAAATGAATATTTCATCATTGACATGTTTATAGGAAGTTATTAAACTGACCATTTTTTGTGTCGCATTAAAACTATAGCATTCACCATTTACACTTTGAGATGCCAATAAAAGTGAATTTACTGTATCACTATACAAGCGATTTCTAACATCCGTTTTGATCAAATTCACTTTTGAAAATATCCTTTCACAAGCGGCGTTTGAATGGGGAATTACTAATAAATCTAATACAAAATTTCCTAACACTTTAAATTTGTAAACATCAGACATATCATGAATTTGGGAGATTTTATACCAGTATTTATCAATTGATGTTTCATTCTTTATTTCTTCAGTATTATTTAATTCTGACTGGCAATACAGCCGCCACTGATCATCAATTTTTTGAATAAGTTCAATATTGTTTTGCTATTTGTTCTTTTTATATGGAACATACCTTTCATCATATTACAAGCTCGTTTGGAAAAAAACATAAAAATATGGTGGTCGCACTATTATAGCTTTTGAGGTTAGGTACGACTAATGACTAGTTGGGTTCAAACGAATGTAGGAATTCGATTCAATGACCCCAAAAATATAAAGATATGTTGGTTACACTTAATTCCTAAACATAGAAAAGTGTAATCTTAGCAATTTGCGCTACTTTTTTGAGGTTAGGCACGAACTCTGAGTAGTTGAAGTTATATTGATATCAGAATTGGTTTCAGCGATCCCGAAAACATAAATTGTGGTGGTTAGACTGTGTTACTCATCGTAGAAACGCATTATTTCAACGATTTGAANTAATATAGTTGCTTCCATCAAAACATCCGATTGGATTGAATGTGTGCAATCTACAGACGATGACTGTAAGCTTATTAAACAACAGATAAACTCCAACGAAGCAGAAGAATGTTACGTATTAGTAGAAAATAAAATTTGTCGAATAGTCAATGGAGAAAACAAAATAATAATACCAAAAGATGTTCGTTGGCGAATAACAAAACTTTATCATGATGATAACGGACATCCAGGACCAAAGAGAACATTGGAAGCAATATGTAAAAATTATTGGTTTCCTAAAATGAGACAATTCATAACAAAATACGTGGGAAGTTGCATTGCATGTTTATGCAGTAAGAGACCAACTGGAAGGAAAAGAGGACGTTTACATCCTATTACCAAGGTTGACAGACCATTTCATACATTACATCTAGACCATTTGGGTCCCTTTTGCAAAACTTCAAATGGAAATGTATACATGCTCGTAATAGTAGACGGATTCACAAAATTTACCTGGATTGAAGCCGTTCCAGATACAAGTACACAGTATATAACAAAGACCATGGAATTACTTCTTAAATTTTTCGGTATTCCTGAAAGAATAATTACTGACCGCGGTAAAGGTTTTACTAGTAAGAAAATGACAGAGTTTTGTAAAGAATATAACATCAAACATATCCTTTGTGCTATTGCTTGCCCTAGAAGCAATGGTCAGGTAGAACGTTTCAATGACACAATTTTAAATGCTATGTCAGCTGCGGTAGGTGAAGACCAAGACGCATGGGAAAGTAAGATTATTGAAGTTCAGAGCGGTATTAATGGAACAATAAACGCAACAACCGGTACAACTCCTTCTGAATTGCTTTACGGTTACAGACCTAGACTTAAATTTGATGTTGTTTTAAATAATAACCAGGCAGATAGGCAGGGTAAATTGAAATGTGCGCGAGATCAAGCTGTCGCTAACATAAATAAAAGTGAACAGCGTATGAAGCAGCGTTATGATAAAAATAGACTTGACGCAATCAGTTATAATGTTGAAGACAAGGTCCTTGTTCGAAGAACTCCTCTAGTAAAAGGACTGACCAGTGGCAAACTTGTACAGAAGTATATGGGTCCAGTTGTGGTGACTCACGTCCTTGGCCAGTGGCGAAACTATAGGGTGGCAGGGCTGGCAAAATGCCACGGGCCCCGGCCCAAGAGGCCGCGAGCTCAGAAATAAATTTTTAATATTGTACCTGAGTATTTTATTTTACTTGAAAAGTATATTTTTTATTTTTTTTAAGTATCTGCTTAAAATCCATTAAAGTGAGACAACTAAAGACCATAATACAATTTCAAGTTAATCGTTAAGCATTTCAACGCATCCTAAACAAAAAGATGTTGATCAATTTTAGAACGCATCCATTGGTTTCTACATTTTTTGTCGCGGTACGTTGGCAGCGCGGGTGACCATTGACGGTCGGGGAATTCCCTCATTTTGTTAACCAAGAAAGTACTCTCTTCGTGGCGCTGCCGCTAGGGCGAGCTAACAAGACTATGTTAGGGGAATCCCGGATTTGCTATTTTTTTATTTACGGCGGGCTCTACTGACTGCGCATTCTTTGTGTGATTGTTTTGACAATTGGTCATTTGTATCTTTGATTTTTCGTATTTGTCGTTTTATTGAACCTGCAAATGATGGCAAAGTAAAGTTGATTGTGAAAGTTAGATATTAAAATGTCTAGTTCCAGAAAATATTTAAGTGGGAGCGAAAAACGAAAGAGAAAGAGGGAGACTGAAGTAAAAAATAAAAAGTTACCTAAAATTAGTCAGTACTTGAAGAATGATGACTTTAATAATGAATACGCGAGTGAACAGTGCTCCAAAAGTGAAGAATTGGACCTTATTAAAAGTCTACCAGAATTACCAAATGCAGCACCCGACACCAGTGTCTATCCAGATCCAGAACAACCACAAGGTACTAGCAAAAATCAAAGAGAATTATATTTTAGCGTGAACAATATTGTGTCTTCGCCATATGTTACTGATAAGGGTAATTTTAAAGAGCTAACTGATCAAGTGAAAAGGTTCGTGATTGAAAACGGACATTGTAAACCTAAGGGCCCTTTCTTAAAAGATAGTGACAATAGATCTTTTCTAGAAAAACATTACTATATTGTTTCCAAGTCTGGCGTGAAACTTGAACGTACATGGCTATCCTATTCTTTAATACTTTAGAAGGCGTATTGTGAACCGTGTTGGTTATTCGCAAATCGGGCATCTAAAAAAATACAAAATGTTTGGATGGAGGGCTATGACGACTGGAAACATATTGTAGACGCCATAGAAAGACACGAGACATCGAAAATTCATCTGGATTCTTGTCTTACGTATCAACAGTGGCGGCTACATGGAACACTCGATGAAGAGCAAGAGTCCATGATCAAAAAAGAAAAATCTTTTTGGCGCCAAGTACTTCCTAGACTCCTTAATGTTACTCCGACACTTTCAACGGGTAATTTGGCCTTTCGTGGCCACAGATAAAACGCAGATAGCAATGATTCAAGCTCCCAAGGAAACTTTTTAAGTATTGTTGAGTTATTAGGAAAATACGACCCGATTTTACAAGAATTGTTAAGTAAACCAAAGGGCCAGATAAAATACTTAAGTCCAAAAATACAAAATGAGCTAATTTCTGTCCTGGTTCTAAAAGTAGAAAATGCACTCATAAATGAAATATATGCCGCACCATTCTACTCTATCATATTCGATACAACCCAAGATATTTCAAAAATTGATCAAATGTGTGAACTTTACCGTTATTTTATGATCGAAAAAGATGGTAATGGGATCCCAGAGGCACTCGTCATTAAAGAGACATTTTTAGGATTTCATGAAGTTAAGGATCAAACTGCCTTAGCAATGTCCAAGCAAATTATTAAATCCATAAATGACAAAAATATTCCTCTAAATAAGTGTCGCGTACAAGTGTATGATGGTGCTAACACAATGAAAGGGACTTATGGTGGAGTTCAAAAACTCATAAAACATGTCGAGCCAAATGCCGTATATGTTCACTGTGCTGCTCATAACTTAAATCTAGTACTCAATGATGCAGTGAGAGAGGTTATTGATATGCAAATTTTTTTGATAAAGTTCAACAAATTTATAATTTTTTTGGGCATAGTATCAAAAGATGGAATATTTTATCAAGTTTTATATCTAATAAAGAAAGGGAGTCTTCAACTTCAATAACGTTAAAAATATTAAACCCTACTAGATGGGCAGGACGTTATGATGCTGTTTTTGCTTTAAAAGTTCGGTTTGTTGAAGTCCAAAAAGCGCTAACGAAAACAATTCTGTTAAATTGCAAATCAGATGAAAGAAATGAAGCTGTTTCACTCAAGAAGATCGAAAACTACAATTTTATTTTGTTATTGCAAAATTCTATAAACTACCGATGCAGCCTCTAAAGCACTTCAGTCTAATGCCACCGATCTTTCAAATGCTTAAAACGTTTGAAAATTTGTCTAGAAAAATTGGAAAGGTATCGACATGAATTTGTAAATTTAAAAATGGAAGCAGATAGTGTAGCAGTAAAATGGTCCGTCACCCCTGAATTTTCCAAATCTCGTCAGAAGAAGGTAAATCGTCATTTTGACGAACTTTGCGAAGATGAGCGTCTCCAAGATCCGGAAAGTTTGTTCAAAGTGAACATATTTTATCGAGTATTGGACATCATTATCAATCAACTGAAATCGCGTTTCCTTGCGATGAATGAAATTGTTTCCAATTTTAGTGTTTTGCAGCCTTCAACTTTACAAATTTTAAATGACACTGATCTATTAAAAAAAGCTCTAGAATTTGTTGATATATATAAAAAAGACATATCTGAATCATTTGCCAGGGAAATTCTTCAGTTTTCAGTCCACTTTCAGAGACGAAATAGAAAAGTCTTCGTGTATTAGAGACCTTGCTGATTTATTAATAATAACTAATCATTTTATGTCCTGCAGCTTTCCTGAAGTATGCACTGCATTAATGTTATTTGTTACAATTCCTGTGACTGCAGCTAGTGCTGAACGATCATTTTCAAAACTAAAATTAATAAAAACCTATTTAAGAAACTGTATGGGACAAGACAGGTTAAGTAACTTGGCTATTCTGTCTATTGAAAATTCTATGGCCCGATCTTTAAACTTTGATGATGTTATAGACACTTTTGCGGAACAGAAAGCTCGAAGAAAAGATTTTTCTTAATAAATATCTTATTGAAATCAAATTGTTATTTCATTGTAAATGTATAAACCCATGCTCTTGAAAATAAAATTGTTATTAGTGTTGGATAACTACTTAAGTGGTTTATTAAAATTAAACTAAGTACAACGTGACGATTTTTACTGATAGGGCCCCATCAAAAGAATTTGCCACGGGCCCCAGATGATATAGTTACGCCACTGTCCTTGGCAATGATCGTTACCAGGTGCAGCCTTTGTCCACAGATAAAAGACGATTCCCAAGAGTTGTGACGAGAGATAAACTTAAGCTCTTCAAGATTCAGACAAGTAATTAAGGTGGGTCTTCTTAGATCATTTTTATAAAGTTACATTTTTCCTTGCATATAAGCAAATTGATTTAGTACTGTAGTTTAAGAGATTAGTAGTGTGACTGCCTTCGGGCATGAGAGTTGAAAGAAAATTGTGGTTAGTAGTGTGATTGCCTCCTGGGCATGAGAGTTGAAAGAAACTTTCCTGTCGCTTGCTAACTATGATTGTTAATGTTAGTTTTGTTTAGTAATGTAATTGTTTCGGAGTCTGTATTGGCATGATCGATTATTAAAACTCAAAAGTTTACGTTGCTTGACATAAGATAGAGTACTGTCGCAATTGTCTCGAGGTGCTCCCCAAGAAAGTGATTGGTCCCGGGACGGGCCCAAGTCAGGATGGCCGAATGTGAAGATAGTTTAGGCTTTGCAAAATTGTTTATAAACTTTTGGCGGCCATGATACGGGTGGGGCGCCGGCCGGGCCGGGAACGAGCACAGACAGAGAGAGAGAACGACTAAAGACGAGGTGGTGTTGAGATATCTAATTTTGGTCATTGTTTTTATTCTAAAATCTATTAGTTATATTTGTGAAAAACTGTGTTTTAACAATATATATATATATATATATGACAATATAAACAGTTTAACATTTTAATGCGAGGTTGTCAAGTTATGTAGAAAATTCTTCGAATTTTGGAAAAACCATGA